CTTTCAACAACCTTTTCAACCCCTACACTTATAAGATAAAATAAATGGAAAAATAACGGCTTCAGAGCGGTCGATCACAGACTGGTTTGGTGATGTGTGCTGCTATAATAAACTCTTGTTTTATGGCAGCCTGGTATGAGAAATCTCACATTACTGGTTTAAGGCCAAGGCAAACAGTCAGGTGTATTTTTACATGTGTACAGAGAGGTGGGTCAAAATCATTTAAGGTAGCCTTAAACAGAGGTGGATAAAAATAGATATGCCCAGTCTTGCTTGCTTCCTCAGTCTTCTGTAGCTGTTAAATAAAACCAATGAAGGTCTGACTTTGTGTTGTTATTTGAGAGGCAAACCTCATATATAATTTTCAACATTTTAAGACGCAGTCTACAACTGTGGCTACTTTACAGCTAAGAAAAACTAAACACACCTTGCCTTTGTGCTACATTAATGACAGGAGAGTTGATCAAGTGTTCTCCCTATTCAGTTACTCCAGCCATTAACATTATACAATTCAGTGCTGCGGGCAAGACTATTTCAGCTGTCACTGGGCAAGCAGCAGAGTATTGTAAAGTGCCCGACTAGTATTGTAAGGTTAAAGTCCTGCAATATTAGACAGAAAACACCAACAATCTAGTAACTCAATTTGTGCAAGTATTCAGTAAAGATTGGTAGGAAAACGTCCAATTGACAGGCTGAGACCCCCAGCAGAGCCAGGCTCATAGTGGGTCAGCAATCTACATGAAAGTGGTAGATACAGCTGTTACTAGAACCTGACATTCAACATAGGTCGATAAACCATGTTCCTAAAGCTGGGGTTATTTATTTGGAACAATTTTTAATGAATAAAAATACAACATTAATACTTTTTTCTTTTTTTACCAAAGTGATCCCAGTCCTCCTGCATGTTCTGGATCTCCAGCTGGTTGCGACCCTCAGTGAAGATGGGTTTGGGGTTTTTCTCAAAGCCTCCTGACAGAAGGCCTCCCTGCCACGGCCGTGCATATATCCTGCCATCCATATCAATCACCACTAGCAAAGAGACACATAGTTAGAAACATCTCCTGGCTGGACTTGTTTTTAGCCTTTCAGCAGGCATTACCATATTGCATATTGCTAAGCACATTATTTGGCTAAGTAAAAAGGTACAGCCTGTGCCCTAGTTTTTTCTTTTTACTATGGGACTAAAAAAAAGGACTAGACATAATTGTCGATCTGATATAAATTGCAATTCGTTAATTAATTTGCCAAAAAACAGAAAAAAAATCATGAAGTGAATGTTCTTTAATACAGACACGATTTCAGCTGGCTACACAAATTGGACTTTAAAATTCAATAGTGTCTACTGCAAAGGTTACTTCCTAGCTTTTTAATATGTGAGACCTGGTGTCTTGGGTGGAAGTGGCTCCTGGAGAGGTTTGGTGAGGAGGTAGAAGTGTTCACATCCATGGAGGGGAACTGACACCTTCGTCTCACTAGCCTGGCCCAGCTCATAAGCCCACTGGAGCAGAAACAGTCAGAGCAACCAAATACAATCAGAACAATGTGTAGAAACAAGATACTTATAGTCACCATAGGAAACAACTGCTTCAACTAGTTTCAGAGGGAAAAAAGATTATGAAATAGAATTATTATTATTATTATTATTATTATTATTATTATTATTATGAAGGAGAAGGAAAAAATTGCTGCCTGTCCTGCTTACATATTTTTGACCAAGCATGACACTGAATTTCCACAGAAACAAAAGTAATTCCAAAATGTTTACAGAGGGGTTTTTCTTTTTTGTCACAGATTCCATTTCTCATAGTTTCAGTCTTATTAATGCATCTCCCATAGAGCAATCTACCTGTCCAGCACAGCTGACAAAATATTCACATTTAATGGAACCACGGTCAGTCTCTACAGCTGTTACACATCCCTTCTCTACCAGAACCTGCTGAACACTGGTTCGCTCCATGATCTGAACCCCTGAAGGAGAAGAAAGAGGAAACAAAGGATAAAAGAGGAGGTTACAATTATAGGGTGGGCCAGCAACAGCAGAATACACGATTTATGGTCTACCAAACCAAACTGCAAGTTTGTGTTACCTTGTCCAGCTGAAGCCACAGCAAGGGCATGGTTAACATCTGGTGGAGACACGACAGCATCTTCAGGAAGGTGGAGTGCGCCTACCAGGTCATGAATGTTAACAAAGGGGTGGAGTTTGGCCACCTCTTTAGGTTTAATAATATTACAATTGATCCCCATTACCCTGTGAATGAAGTGAAAGGGTCAAAAGTCATTTATGTTTTTAAATCAGTGAAAAGGGACAATTTTAAACAAAAACTTTTGAGTCCCAAAAGCTTGTCCTCACAAAGCCACTAGAGCTTTACAGCTTAATCCACATAGCTGTGGTCTAAATACTAACTACAGGACTTACTTCAGCCTTGATGCGAGGCGCTTAAGAGAAATGAAGCGATCCTGATTTTGAGCCAGACACAAAGACCCTGTCTTCACATAACCTGCAACACATACCACACACCACATATGACTCAGTCTATAATTAGTATTCTAGCTTTGCAGCTTGTTTATTGCTGGTGCACATCAAATGATATCTCGGACTTCAACAAATCTGAAATGTTTCTAAATGCATTGAGACAGAAGGCAGTATGTCACAATTTGCTCCCTTGTCTGTTTTATGCTTTAGAAGCTATAATCTGGGAAGATAAAAATGCAAACTGTTCTATAATCTAAATTAATAATTAACATTTTAAAAAATATGTGGTGATGTGCATGCGGGAACTGTTAACTATCAGCACCAATAGTAAAATGGTGAAAAAGCAAACCCTTCTAAGAATAAAATAGTTTCAAAAAATTAAAAAAGTTAAATATGACAAAAGCCAAATTCTGTAAATCATCCCACCTGTTTTAACCCCCGTCTCCTCCTCCAGCTGCTGGTAAAGACTACTGGAGTAGTTGGCCATTTGACACTCGATGGAAATGGGCTTGGCCACGCTGACAATACCAGCACATAGCCTTGTTGTTCCTGCACCAAGTCTGGTTAGGATAATAATGGCCAAGAAAGTATTAACACAACAATATCAAATCTAACATTTCTTTCCACTATCACCTCCTAATGTTAAAGCTACCCCTACTCTCATATAATATCAGTGGTCTGAGTCAATAACATAAAGAACATCTCTCTCTTCGTGCTAATTTTAAGCCAACAAACACAATGGCTTATCTGTAATTTGTTGAGCTGAAACACTCACCTGCCCTGCTCAAGTAGTACAATATCAGTCCAGCCCAGTCTAGCCAGGTGGTAGGCCACTGATGTTCCCACAATACCTCCTCCACAGATGACAACCCGGGCCTGCCTGGGCAATGGAAGCAGCTGGGAGTCTCCACTGACAGTCAAACACCGAGGGGAAGTCCAGAGACCCCTGCCTACCAATCTATACCCCGTCTGGTGAAGCAGCCGCAGCCGGGGGAGCATAACAGGGGACAGAGCCCTGGAGCTCCGCACACAGCTGGACATAGCTGTGCTTTCTGCAATAAGAGACACGGGATCTAAAGTTACTCTATAACCTTAAATAGAGGACAGTACCACAGTGAATACAGCAACAATGACCCTAACTTTACAAATATCATGATATAATTTTAATAACATATGATCCGTTTTCTACAGTGTGCAGGGTGTGATACAGACCTCTTGTATTATTTTAAGTTGCTGTATTTTTTTAATCTGAAATAATTTGATATTTGCTGTAGATAGGGTTGTGTCAATGTCACAGTTTCATTTTAATTTGGCTAGGTAGATACTAATAAAATTATTACTACACCACAATCTATACATCTCTGACAGTACTGCTGACCTTTTCTGCTAACAGCATGGATTAGTTTGCGTTCTAAAGTTGCTATGTCAGGGCCTTTGAAAGTGTCTACTATAAGCCAGGTTAAATTGTCAACACTGGAAGTCGCTAGTTTCCATATGGTTACAAAGATGCACTGCTGTTCCTAAACTTAAGTTGCTACATTTAGCTTAACCAGACATAATCGAAAGTAAATACAACATTAAACACTTTGAATAGGGCCTGGGAAATCAGCAAGGTGAACTTACAACAGTCCTTCAAATGTCTTGCTTGTATTATAAAGACTGCTGTTAGCCTTGAAGCACTGCTTTAGCTTTACTTGTATTCTTAGCAGCACAGCTAGCTTTAGCTAACAGCATGTCGGTATCTTTGTGATTTTTTGTGATATTTAGATTAGTGGTAGATACCTAGCAGACGTGTAGATGACCAAAGTCACGCACAAAGTTCCTAACATTTGGGGGGTATGTGTTGGTACTACTAAAGTTAGCAATACTGATAATGTTAGTCACATAGCACAGCTTAGGCTATCGAAAAGCTAGCCAATGTTTATTATTTTTGCTAACACGACGGCTAAACCAGGCAGAAAATCTTCTCTAATCATAACACTTATTTTTCACAACTACATTAAACTTACCGATTTAGTCAAGTCCAGTGATTATGATATTTCAACAGAAGGATAGTCACTAAGATGTAACTGAAAGCCAAATTCAGAGACTCCCGTTAGTTAAGTGGTACCTCTTCCGGTATAACCCTTCAAAATAAATTACGTCTGCGTCTTTTTAGAATGGCTTCAGTAGCGGTGGAGCGGGTATCAGCGAAAACATTGAACTCATCCAACTCAAATGCTTAGGATATATCTAGAAAGTTGCAAACCTACTTATTATTAATCTAATTATTTTTTCTAAAATTTATTTTTTTTCTATTTTTATTGTTTGTTTGTTTTTTATTGTTTTTTTTGTTTTGTTTTTTTATCTCGAATTCACCTTTTCTTCCTGCCCCTTGTGCTGCTGTAACAAATTAATTTCCCCAATATGGGATTAATACTAAATTTCGCAGTGTGACTTTTTAAATGTTATGTTGCTGAATTGCTGTTGCAATGGACTACTTGCACTAGGACATGAGACGTATTTCCGTTTCCAAATACTACCGCTTGGGCATTTCCGGTATGTTTGTTTATCTATCGGTTGCTATGCTAATGTCGCTTCAGAATGAGTATAAAAAGGAAAGTATTTAAAACAGAATATTTTCAAAAACAAGAGAAGAAATACTCCGAGCATTGCTGTGTCCCACTTTGTTCGGCTTCAGCCAAATTTAACGGCATACTAAGTTTTCATGGCTTTCCGACCCATTCCGACTTGAGAAGACAATGGCTGGTAAACATACGACGGGATCATTTCACAATTACCTCTCACACCAGGGTCTGCTGCAGACACTTTGCCAGTGATCAACTCATAGAGCCAACAACCCTCGGTGGTCGAAGGCGGCTTATTAAAGGTGCTGTACCAACACTTTTTGAGTGGAATGGCTATAAAGTTGAACCACCGCGGCCTGGTGTTTGGGAGAGAACGGAGCGACGCCCAGAACTAGTTCCTCCTGACGATCAAGAAGAGCACAGTCTTACAAGAGATCATGACTACTGCTCAGTCCCTGAGCCGTCTGCATTGGACATATCTGCATCAGCTGCAGAAGACCTGTCCAAAGACGTGGAGACTCTGAGGAAGGAAATACAGGAGTTACGTGTCCAGCGAGAATTTGGGTTACAGCGTTTTGCTGGCTCCGACACTGACATCCGATTCTATACCAGGTACATCTAAGTTCTATCCAAGCTAACTGTTTAAAATATACCAAGGTCACCATCAGTTAAATTTAGAAAGTTTTTCCAGTCTTAATGAAAACAAAATAGATATTTACTTTTTCTCTGCTGACTGTATGTTTCATCTAGATGCTTTAGTATTTAAACGATATTCTAATGCTACAGATAAAATACAACACCAAATACTCTTAATCAGACTATTTTATACAGCATGCCATTAGCATATTTGTCACAGTTTACATTATTTTTATGTCAGTGTGTAATGTTAATTAATGATTGACACGATGTATGTCTCTCTCGTGAATAGATTTCCAAGCTATGATCATTTGATGGCATTTTGGTTTTTGATTGAGCCTTGCATCTATAAAATGATCCGGGTTTCAAGAGCCAAGTCAGCTGCCAATCGGAACGAAGAAGTGTTGACACCTGCACGCACATCAACGGTAGGTTATGGGTTTGTTGGTAGTTAGAACTAGAGGTGTAATGTTATTGTATTTATGTACAATAACATTACATTATGTACAATAGCGCTAGACTCAGTATCCTACATACATACACCTGTGTACTACAGCACCTCATTGTTTACCCCATGGTACAGTGTGGTATGCATAACCATTACAAAACATTTAGCCAAGAAAAGCATAATTTTACTAGTTCATAGCTTAAGGAGTAACATTTTCCCTTTTGTTTTCACCTTCCAGAGGCAGCTGCTACAGCCAATTGACGAGTTTTATCTTTTCCTGGTTTTCCTGTCAGTTGGTTTGAAGGAGAGGGACCTGGCACACCGATTTACCATACACCAGTCCACAGTGAGCTGCATTATTGCAAAATGGACAAATTTTCTTGCCACTGTACTGGGGTCTCAATGCATTTGGCTTACACGTGAAGAAGTGCAAGCTTACCTCCCTGAGGAATTCAAAGATTTCTCAGACACCCAGATGATCCTTGACTGTACAGAGCTGAGGTGTCAGACACCATCCTCACCACTTCTCCAAAGTGAAATGTACTCTTCGTACAAATCCCACTGTACGATGAAAGCCCTGGTTGGCATAGCTCCACATGGTCCAGTGACATTCATCTCTAATCTGTATGCTGGTTCGGTTAGTGACAAGGAACTATTCAAACAATCAGGCATTGCTGAGAAGTTGACTGAAGACATGGCAGTGATGGTAGATAAGGGCTTCCTAATCACTGATTGTTGTAAATGCAAAGTGTACTGCCCACCTTTTCTATCTAAGCAGAAGCAGATGCCAGCATACCAGGTTAAGGAGACGCAGGCCATAGCCAGACTCAGGGTACATGTGGAGCGAGTCATTAGGAGGATCAAACAGAACAAACTTTTTGATAGCATCATTACCATGTCACATGTTTATAATATCAACCAACTGTTTGCAGTAGCATGTATGCTGTCAAATTACCAGAACACAGCATTAGTTAAAAAAATGGGTTAAGTGAGACAAGATGGTTTTTTCCCCAAGACACCAGTGCCAGTAACTTATGGAAAATGACCTGCAGCTGAGGCCACTACAGTTGCATTTCTTCCTTCTCAGCTGACAATACTTGATTACAGAAATAGTACTTGAGTGCTGATAGTTGAGTTTCAGTTATTAATAATTCAAATTCATTGCAAATGTTGAATGTTAATAATACTGTTTAATTATACTACTATATTACTATTCAGATTCAACAAAATTGTTTATCAAAATTATAAAGTAAATCACTAAATCGTTTTAAAAATCATACCATTTGTCATTTTCTTCATTCAGTTGTGTTATTGTCTAAATGTATATCAGTATGCTAGGCATGGAGTTTTAAATACTTACCATGTAAATAAGTTCTGCACAAATTCAATCTTTTAATGTGTGTTTTTAAAAAATGAAATTGATGCCATTGCTTAAATAACTGTTTATTGATTTCACATAAAAGTAACATGTAACAACAAAAGAATTCATGAAATATATTGCAAATAAAACCTCAGTTATTTTGTTCCAGCCAGCCTGAAGGATCTGTTTTCCTTTTTGCTATGTTTTCACTGTTCATTTTTCCCCAAACACAGGTATCTTGGCATATATATGTGAAAAAATAAGTAGTCAGCCTTTTCTCTGATTGCATTGTACACATCTGTATCCATGTATATTCTTTGCACTAGGTAGTCCTCTTGTGCCCACACAACAAAGTCACACCACTGCATCCCACTGATGAGCAGTTGTCCTTGCACTTGCCAATAATATGCGTGGCTCTTTTTTAGTTTAGGGGTACCACATTCCATTTGCACATATTTGCAGTCAAAGTTTTGCACATTGGGACATTTGAATATGACGAGGCCAAACTGGGGGTATTCATTGGGGTCAAAAACAACACCATCAGGAGATGCAGCAAGCCAGGGGGCAATGGGGTGAATGACCAGACCACAGGGTGAGTAGTTAACATTCATTAGCCTACTATACTCTGCTGCTATTGCAAGCTCCATCTCAATTCCCCTCCTCATGTCTGCTGTCTGCCTTGTTCCCTTCAATATACACTCTGCTAGTGACTGCCGAGCTCTGGCCTCTGACGTGGCACACCTCCCGAAACCTAGAGGCAGTCACTCTGGGCCTGCAGAGCTGATGCCACTCAGACGAAGAGCTTTGCTCACGTGTAGCTTCCTCTATTTTGTGAGCCATTTCCAGAGTTACAGAGAAGCTTTTCAGATGCAGAAGCTCTTCTTCTGAGCACACAAACACACAATCTGATGGCAAGATGTCATACCCCTCCAGAGGCAAGTGCGGTGTTGGTGGTGCATCACGGTGTAGTGTGATGTACCGGGTTGTCAAAACCAGCTGCTGATATGACAGAACACTGCCCTCCTGCACCAGCCCAAAGGCACTTTCCACAAGGGGCTTGTAAGGTCTCATGTTCATTGTGGTCACAAGTGGCCTGTCCTCAATATTAAATTTTGCATATGCCTCAGTTATTCTGAACAAGCAGGGATCTGGTAACGGACCCACCATGCCTCTGTAGAAGCCACTCCTAAAGAAAACATCAATGACAATAATGTAAGAAAGAAAGTTATTATACTGAACAACAACTAAACTAAAAAGGTGTAAAACAGTGGTGCATAAGTTAGAGACTGGGATGTATATGTACATGACTGAGTTAGCAGTCTTCAGAAAGTGTAATGTTGTATGTAAATTAATACCTATTCTGACACATGTATGTATGAACAAATAGCAACATACATTTGTAACACATGAAACCAAATTTTACAAATCTAATTACCGTACTCCAGTCTGGGCCACCCTATTTGGTACCGGCTTAGTGAAGATCATGGAGTTGATGGGTCCTGGCTTCACACCCTAACAGAAGATACATTTACTATGGATGGTGTTGCTGTTCAAAAACTTTAACCTCATTTAAATTACCACTGTCCGTGGCTTGTGCCATTGCTGTTCAGATTCCATGCAGCTATGCACAGGGGGGACAACTGGCACTCTGAGTTGTGAGTAGTGTGCTGTTTGGAAGAGCAATGCCACTGTGTAATTGCACATAACAGCGCCTGCCACACAGGAGCACTGGCTATGTGTCAGTACCACCGGCGATGAATCCAGAAGCTTAATCTAAGAAGAAAGAACGAAAATTAAAAATGTAACATCTTCATGGAAGAGCCGAACAGGAACATAGTTCAGTGTTATGGTTACTGACCCCTACAGGCTTACCCTCCTGAATGCTTAGTGTTTCTTCCTCTCCCTATTAAAACAACTTAGCCATCCTTGATAACTGTAATAACTTAGATTGTGTATATTTGCAGTATTAAGTTGAGTAAACTATCCGACTAGTCAAATTAGGAGTGATAAAGCAGGGAGACAAGGAAAACATTCAAGTTGATGGGCCTTTAGGAATGAACTTAACTAATGCTTAAATAAACTGAACCCCACTGAACGGGGATTAACAACTTTACACAGCTTCCTGCCTGTGTGGTGCCTCACTCTTCCTCATTGACTTGTAGCACAGGGCTCTCACACCGACCTCCCCTGACAACCTGTCTTTATTGGACACTGAATAAAGATACAAGTACCATTAGCATTATTTCTGTATTACTCATGTCAGCACGTCTTAAACATAATATACTTTACACTTAGCAAGAGTAGCATTAGGTAGTTAACTACCTCCTTAGTTAGCCAACTACCTAACGCCATTATAACAGTGTCTAACAACAAAAGTGACATTAGTTAAGAAAACCTCAACTATAGTTTCGGACGACATAAAACACCGTTTAAGAAAACATGTAATATAGAGAATTGACATCAAATGAAGGACATAGCGGAGTAACGTAGTGTTTGCATTTGACGTTAGCTAGCGTTTCTTTGTCGGTCAATTTACGTTTTCTTACCTTCGTAGTTGTGTATATATGATGCAGCATATAACTTAAATCCTTTATCTAATTGCTGGCCGGGGTAGTCGTCAATCTGCAAATCCGATGAACATCAGTGATGTTCAATTTTGGGAGCTCTTGTAGGCAGCGAGTGTGGAACGTCGCCATGGTTTAACCACACCGGAAGCACTGGGGCAGGACTACATAGAACGCGGAAGTGATTGTGCAAGTTATTCTTCTCTTAAAGATATCAGCTAGGTTTGCACATCTGGAATATTTAAACATGTCTTTGGTTACATGGGGCCATGTACCTCATTATCGAAGTTTTTTTCTTTCTTTCAACTTCTCAAAGTCAGATTTATCAACACAACTGTCTATGCATACTTACAGTGTTAGGTATTCTGTACAGGGTTGGACACTCCTTTGCCTTGAAAACAACCTTAAATGATCTTATTATTGGTTTAATAAGGTGCTGGAAACATTCCTCAGAGATTTTGGTCCATTTTGACATGATGGCATCACGCAGTTGCTGTAGCTCTGTCAGCTGCACATTCTTGATCTAAATCTTCAGTTCCACCACATCCCAAAGGTGCTCTATTGCATTGAGATCTGAGACTGTGTGGAGGCTATTTGAGTAAAGTGAACTCACTCCAACAGGTAATACACTAGATGTTTCTTAAATGTGATGTTCAAGAAACATCAAGTGCATTAACTTTTTGAAGCCGCCTCTACTCTAAAGTAATATGAACATGGCCACCAGCAATACGCAGAAAGGCTGTAGGGTTTAAACAATGCTCAGGTGGTAAGGGGTCCAAACTGTGCAAAGAAAATACCCCCAATATGATTACACCACCAGCAGCAGCCTGAACTGTTACAAGACAAGATGGGTTCATGCTTTCATGTTGTTTAAGCCTAACAGAATGTTGCACTTCTATATTCATTGGACCAAGGCAGTTTTTCTAGTCTTCTATTGTCAAATGTTTCTGAGCCCATGTGAATTGTAGCCTCAGCTTCCTGTTCTTCGCTGACAGGAGTGGCACCCAGTGTGGTCTTATGCTAGTGTAGTTCTGCTTCAAGAGTTGACTTGTGTGCCCAGAATGGCCAGAGGTCGACCATTCTTCTCCGACTTCTGATATCAACAATAAGCATTCTAGAGATGGTTGCGTGGGAACATCTCAGTAGATCAACAGTTTCTAAAATGTTCAGACTAGCCTGCCCGGCACTAATGACCATGCCAAATTCAAAGTCACGTAAATCACTTTTCTGACACATTCTGATGCTTAGTTTGAACTTCAGCAGGTCATCTTGACCATGTCTGCATGCTTAAATGGATGACTGAGTTGCTGCCATGTGATTGGCTAATTACACATTTGTGTTGATAAGCAGTTGAATTGGGAAACTTAAGAAGGGGCTGGCAAGTGTGTATTGCAATAGCATAGAGCTGGGCCTGCACAGAGGTAACCACTGAGGGGAGCCAAAAACCTTCTGTACAGGATTTGTAAGTATTGTCTGCATGCTTCTGTGGCTGCAGTGTTCTAGTAAAACAAAGGGTACTAAATATGCGTTCCAGTCTATTTCTAGTTCTAATTAATATTCATGTTCACAAAAGGTAGAAATATAACTTACTCTCAGGAAGCGCTCCCTCATGTTAGTGAAATTAACTCCCAGAGGGTTAGTAACCCTGTTGCTACTGCTACCCTATTTTCAAGAAGGTCAAAATGCAATATTATAATGCAATTAAGAATATTCTATAAGTAATTCAACTTTTTCAGCAGGTTTAATTTTACTGTTAATTTTGTTTTTACCTTAAATTGTCTGTACAATAGTCCAGCCTTCTCATCCAGTTTCACATTTTTTCACACAAACAAGGGAGAGAAAAATTAAATGCATAGCAACAAAGTTCTTTTGAGATTTCACACGTAATCAGGTTAAACTGGGATTTGTAAAGAGGTGAACCCATGTCCACTGTGTATGGGGGTCACACAGAATAATCATTCTTGTAATCAGCTTTTCTAAATGTATTTTTAACATGTTGCACTGCAAAGTAAAATAAGTACGCAAATTTTATTTGTGTACTTATCTTTTAAATTTTAAAAGGAAGGAACCTTTTTTGAGTTTTTAGTGGAAAATAACTGACTACATTACTCCCATTAATTGTTAATAGTATATTTACATGTAATCTTTTCTTCATAAAACACATTCATGCTTATCTCTGTGTGTTTCCTTGTTTTTAATTCACTTAATAATTAGATAAGTTGCATATTTTAAATACTACTTAGTTTAAGTAGCAAAACTTTGTGTAATAATCCATTTAATATGCTACGGGGAAAGTGCCGTGATTGACCGAGGAGAGAATCAAAAAACTGTTCCTAAAAATACAAATGTAGCAATAGCAGATT